CTCTATGACAAACTAAGGCCCGGTGCGAAGTTTTAACCCGAGATCTTCAAAGACTTTGCTGACATGGAAGACCAGGTTAACTGGAAAACGGGAAACTTTAGGAATTCTACCAGTTCCTGGATCCCGCGAGATGGCCCCAGGAATATGAGAATACAGCATTACTCCTTTTGTAGTATTATTTTACTCAAGGTCTCTCTTATATATTTGTCAAGGCGCTTCCCCAATCTAAGAAACAAAAAGATCTAGTAATTGCCTTAGCAGTTTGAGTGAAAATAAATTAGGTCAGCTGAGGAAAAAAGAAAAAAAGTCAGAAGGGATCTATTTAAAATTCAAATTCAGTTGGTTAGCGCGTGGTCCCAATAGGCCGAGGTTGCAGTCTCATTCCCCAACCAGGGCAACACAAGAATCAACCAGTAAATGCATAAATAAGCGGAACAACGAATCGGTATCTTTCTCCCCTCTCTAAAGTCAATTTTTTTTTAAAGTTTTTTAAAAAATTTCAAGCTACCGGATGTGCCCTCCTTGAGGCACACCACTCAAATCTTTTGCAGTGGCAGCTCGTCCCATTCTTACCCCCTGAACCTGACTCCACGGCCCCCTTTTCTCTGACCTTCCTGCCTGGTCTTACTTCTTTCCCATTAATTTCTTGAGAGCCAAAGCATCTCGCCTGTTGCTTTTTCTATTCTAGGCCCACCCTTGTTTAACTGTCCTCAGCTTGTACTCTAAAAGACAAATGAATGCATGAGTTAAATAACTAAATTCAAGGTCCTTATTTTGAAAGTCCCGGGGGCGGGGCGGAGCGGGGGGGGGGGCGCGGGGGGCGGGGGGGACGGGGGGACCATAAGCTGGACATCAATTTTTTAAAACATAAAGTGCTGAGATGATAATAGAAAGTGGGTGAATGTAAACTGGAATTCCTTCAACTAACTTTCCTTACCGTATTTAAGGGCATAGCCTTGTCCTCAATGAACTCAACTTTTTTTTTTACTTTTCATTTATTGATTTTAGAAGGAGAGAAAAAGAAACATTAATTTGTTTTCCACGTAATTATGCATTCATTGGTTGATTCTTGAATATTCCTTGACCAGGGTTAGAACCCTCAACCTTGGCATATCAGGAGTTTGCTCTAACCAACTATCTGGCCAGGGCTGAACTCAACTTTTAGACTGATTATTTTTTAGTTCTTTCAAAGGGCCCATCAGTTTTAGAAAATTGCCCTATTTGATTGGCCATAATGTAGATACTTAATATTTTTTTTAGATTTTATTTATTTACTTTTAGAGGGAAGGGAAGGAGAAAGAGAGGGAGAGAAACATGTTTGAGCAAAACACCAATCACTTGCCTCTCACACACACCCCCAGCTGGGGACGTGGCCCACAACTCACTCAGCATGTGCCCTAGCTGGGACTCAAACCTGCAACCTTCCAATTTGCAGGCCGGTATTCAATCCACTGAGACACACAAGCCAGGGCTTAAATAATTTTTTTAAATGTGTAAGTTTCATCACAATGTCCTGAACAAAATTCAGCAAAGCACTCTTGTCAGACGCAAAATGACTAGACTTGTACTGTTCCAAGCCAGAAGGAACCCTGGAAATACTTGAGTATAATATCCAATCCCCTCTCCCCATTTTACTAAGGTCAACAAAGGGACTGTCCTGCTCACCACTACAGCCCAGTCTCGTCATGCTAGAGTCCCACGTCTTAATTACTGTGAGGTTTGTGCTGAGGTAGAGGTAAACCTCCAGGTGCTACTGCCAATGGGGGGTGGGGGGCAGTGCCTTGGAGGGCAGCAATGGCTGAACAGCAGCAATATTTAAGGGCTTGCAGAGATTGAAATTCACTACAAGGATTTCATATAGAGGCCCTCATTTATTTCTGTTTAACACACAAAAACTTTGCTTACTGAAAAAAATCTGAATTTTAAGTTTACTCATAAATCAACCTTTTTAATTGAATCCTTTATCTCAAGAACTAAACTGGCTTAATTTATTAGCCAGTTTTATAGGAAATAAACTAACTGCAAAATAAGGAAATGGAGCTGAGAGATGAAAACATAAAAAAGGAAACCGTAAGTAAATCTAATCTGTTTCCACCCAAACTAGCAGCTTCCACAAACGTGGTTTTAAATTTTAGCAGTAAGAAGTAAACATTTGAGAAGTAAAATTATAAGCAGTTAATCAAATAATTCAGCTTGCTAATATATTGTTTAAACTTGTCACTAAACCAAATAAAACATTTCTGCTAATACTTCGTGAACCAGTTTGTTTCTCTGAATTGGAGGTTGTTTTGAATAACATATTTAAAGATAAATGACCTTTAAGCTCAAGAATTTCAAAGAAGAGGAAAAGACAAACAATAGCACACATCTTTTAACCAGTATTTTTATTGTTTTAGCTTTAATAATCTCTACTGCATAGTTAACTGTATTGCAAACAACTAAAGAACTAAAAAGTTTAGCTTCTACTTTCGAGGGAGTTATTTAACAACCTCATTTTTCTTTTATGAAAGACTAATTAAATAACTTTTTCTTTTATGATGTTCAGCTGAAAGCTTTCTTATTTAAAAAATATGAAGAAAGGCTAAAAATGAATGATTTTTCTTAATATGTTTGGGGATAATGTCATTTCTTTTATGTACATTTGGCTCACACTCTATAAAGCCTTTGAAACTAAAATCATCTGAGGTCAGAAATTCATCAGCCCAGCATTTATAAGAGAGGATGAACTGGTTTAATCTTAATTGGTAAGTTTTTTTATTGAGTGTCAGAAATGTCTATTAAGTATTTAACATTTTAGGTATTCATTGTATTTTTGTTTTAAAAGTAGTGGGTATGATATTAACAGTTTCAATACCTAGAGGCAGTGTGAAATTAATCAACTCTTTATTTTACCCCTTGATTAACAATTTCTTTGAAGAGAGATTAATGAAATCTGCAAAAGCCCCTTTTCTCATCAGATTGAATTAACTTTATATGAATGTAAATAAGTTTGGATGTGCTCTAGAGACATCTTGACTTCCTTAAATGCTTTAAAAATTAAAATAAACAATCTGGAATTCCTAACATAGGGTCCAGGAAAGCAGATTTTGCAGAGCTATTTGGAGTTCTGTGTCATGGTGCTATTCATCTCATTTTCACTAATAGTTCATTCTTATCTTCAAAATATTGAGAATTTTTACATGAAGGAAGTTTTTCTTCCACAGGTAAATGAAGTAACTAACATGTGATTAATTAAAAGATGCAGATAGGTTGTTCGATTTCAAAGATAATGTCCTGTTAGGGCAATCAATAACTGCAGCTGCCCTAAAATGGAATAGCCTGTTCCCAGAAAGTATGAAAACCTGCAGTAACTCGAGATATTTGAACAGCAGGTAGGTATGTTTTATCCAGGAAGCTACAGAAGAAATAGTATATGCACAAACCTTTAACCTAAGATCCCTCAACTGTTATTTGGCCCTGGGACTGAGCCCAAGGTACCCTGTACATAATACCACTAACTTCTTTGAAGAGTTCTATCTGAAAATGTGTATATTTAGCATTTCTACATTTGGTTGATTTTTTTAAAAGATGTTATTTATTTACTTAAAGAGGGGAAAAGGAGGGAGGAACAGAGGGAGAGAAACATCAGTGTATGAGAGATACAGCCACTGGTTGCCTCTAGCATGTCCCCAATTGGGGACCTGGCCTACAACCCAGGCATGTGCCCTGACTGGGAATCTAACTGGCAACCTTTTGGTTTGCAGGCCAGCACTCAGTCTAACTGGCAACCTTTTGACTTGCAGGCCAGCACTCAATCCAATGAGCCACACCAGCCAGGACAGCTGATTTTTAACAGAAAAAAAATTATTTCATTCGATAATTTAGTGAAATTGAGAGTTTTAGGTAGTCCGTCAATCCAATATGTAGCTGCCAGAACTACTTGAGAGCACCTTTGTTTTTTTATTTATTTATTCATTTTATAAAGAGAGAGGAAAGTAGAGAGAGAGAAACATCGATTTGTTGTTCCACTTATTTATGCATTCATTGGTTGATTCTTGTATTTTCCCTGACCAGGGATGGAACCCACAGCCTTGGTATATCAGGAACAATGCTCTAACCAAATGAGCTACCCGGCCAGGGCTGAGAGCATCTTTTTTTAGTTGCCTGTTTCCAAGTCTCACCTCAGACTTTTTGAATCAGAATATCCTAGAAGTGGGCCTAATAATCTGTATGTTTAAAAGATTTCCCAGGAAGACATATTGGGTTGTTTGGGGTTTGTTGTTTTTTTTAAGTATAAGACTAAACTACAAATTGCTGGGGGAAGGGGATATAAGGAGACTAAGTGGTAATGGGGGGAAAAAACAAAAATTAAATTGGAAAAAACTAAACTACTGAACTATAGGTTCTAGGGCTCCACATTCAGGAGATAAAATCGTAAAGAAATACAAGGCAGTGGTTACTTTTGGAGGGAGGACTAGGACACTTGAAGCCACATTAGGGACGGTTGGCAAAGCCAGCCTAGGGTGATTACAAGGGTGTTTCTTTCTTTTTTTTTTTTTAATGGAAAAAACTTTAATCTCCTAACAAATATACAATGAAATATGAGACTCCTCTCACTCCAGGAACCTCCTTTCCCAGTTCCCCTCCCCAAGGCAACCACTGTTAATGGTTTCTTGTATATCTTTTCAGAAAGGAGACATTTTCTATCCACACACAAACATAAATGGATATGTGGTCCCCTACTTTTTTGCTCAGTGACAGCTGTGTGGTGTTTCTCTTTATAATAGTTCACTAGACTATTAATTTTAAAATGTTCCTAAAGGATTCTGCTGCATACTCAAATTTGGGACCCCCAAGATCTGGTGACATCTGATATTTTTTCTTTCTGTCCTTAAATATTCTATTTCTATAAGTCTTTGTCTCAGGTGGATTAAATTCAGCTACTTTTGTCTTTCCTGGGGGAGAGGTAGACAGCGGGAAGGGATACTATTTAGTTTGGGGGTTTTTTGTGTGTGTTTTTTTTTAATGCAGAATGCTTCATGAATTTGCATGTCATTCTTGCACAGGGCCCGAGTATCACTCCATCTTCTCTGTATCATTTCAACTCTAGTAGATGCATTGCTGAAGCAGGCACTGCCCTTTTTTGACACCTACATGCATAATTTTATAAGCTGTATCATTTTGTACTATTTTCTACATTTAATAAGTGGAATTGTATACAAGCATATTTTTTTTCCTTTAAAAATCTCACAATTGCATTGTGTTGGGAAAATAAAAATAGTGCTTCTTTTGTACCAAAACAGTAATTGCTTTCTTAAAATATGTTTTCCAGTGGTTTTTATTTTTGTTTTGTTTTTCTAAATAAGTTCATTAATGCATGCTCATTGCTTTTTTAAAAAAGTATTTTAGAAATTTTTGTATATTGTAGAGACGTCCTTCATTCTGTACTTATTGGCATAGGATACACAAAAGGACCTATTTTTTTTAATATACTAATGGATGGTAATTACTGTAATAGGGTATTACTATGTAATCAGTGGGTAAGGGGAAATAAGGATTTATTACTAGTGGGTACAAAGTTACAGTTTTGCAGATGAAAATGTTCTGTGGATTAATAGCAATAATAGTTGCAGAATAATGTGATTGTACTTAATGCCCCTAAAGTGCATACCTAAAAATGGTTAAAATGGTAAATTGTAGTATATTTTACCTCAATTAAAATAATCATTCCTACCGCAAAACATTACAGCTGTGTCACCACCTAATCCAGATTACTAGAAGGACCTAATTTGAAATTCTCATTAATTATTATATACTAGTCTCCTTTTTTTACTTCATAACACATAAAGTGACTAGACTACTTGATATAGGAAACTCAATGTCTAAAAAATGCCCTCACTAAATTTTTGGTGAATAAATGAAATAAACAGTCAAATATATGCATTTTTAAGATCACTGGTAAAAATTAATCTTCTCTCAGCCTCCTAGACCTTCCTGTGTTTCTTTGGGCATGTCACTTTACCTTTGAAAGTCTCACTTCTCTATTAAAGAAATATATTAGCTAAGAATATGATCAGTAACATCCCTTGCAGCTCTAACAATCTTATCCTTGAAGCTAAGCTATCTTATTACAATCCCTTCTTTAGAAAACTAAACATATAAAATAGTTTGATTCTCTCCTTTATTTTAATGGACCATCTTGATTAGCAAAAGAGAAAAAATATGTATATAGACGCATAGGATACTCTCTAAAAATAATTCATAAATTGACATTTATTAACTTTAGAATTATAGAAAAGTATAATTTTTTAAAGCTGTGCATGCATCTTTCTCCTGTATACACAGCCACAGGACTTTTGTTCTTTACTTCCTTATGCCCTTAGGAAAAATCATAACACTCTAACAACAATATTTAATTTCCTGCTGTTCACCAGGCACTATTCCAAGAACTAGAGAAACAGTAGTGAACAAAACGAAGTCCTTGACCCTGCTCTCATGGAACTTACGTTCTAATGGAAGAGAAACAGACAATAAGCAAGCATCTGTCAGTTGGTAATAAGTACTAAAAGAAAAGAAAAGGGGAAGAGAGAGAGAGAGAAAATAAAAGAAAAAAGAGAGAAAGAAAAGGAAAGAAGGGAGGGAGGGAGAAAGGAAAGGAGGGAACCTTAGAGGGGATTGACCTTTTAGATACAATGTTCAGAGAAAGTTTCTCTGGTTAGTAAACAGGTGGGCAGAAACTTTAAGGAAATGATGCTCTGTGGACATCTAGGGGAAGAACGTTCCAAGGCGTGAGCATAGCAAGGGAGGATGCCATTAAACAGCAGCTTGCTCCACAAGTTGGAGGCAAGGAGGCCAGTTGTGGCTAGAGTGAAGAAAGCAAGAGAATGCTGGGAAATGACACCTGAGAAAGAGCTGAGAACTAGGTCATGTAGCTACATGAGTAAGTAAGCAAGAGAATGGACGGAAATGACACTAGAGAGCTAAGGGCCATGTGGAACTTTGTAAGACTGGTAAGTACTTAGGCTTTTATTCTGAGTGAGAGGGGAAATTGAGAATTTTGAGATCTAATGAGAATGGTGTGAGATCTAATTTAGATGTTTTGAAAAGATCATTCTGCCTACTATGTGGAAAACAGACTGCAGGGAGGTAAGAGCTTATGCTACTTACTGAAAGTGGGTTGTGGATTCCCAGTGTCAGCATTAAGAAATTAGGGAGAGTGTTAATATATTTGTTAAGAACATGAATTTTAGAGTCAACCACTCTCAGTACCCAGTCATTTATGTAATAGTTTCTTGGCTCTAGGGCAAGCCCTAACCTTTCAAAGCCTTTGCTTTTCCCTTTAGACTTTGTCCTAGCTGCTTAATCTCTTAGCTGCTTTTTTTCTTTTCTAACATCAGAAAAACCATATCATCTATTATTAGATAAATTGATTGTAACCTACACTGCCATCCCTTGTAAAATGTATTTAATGATTTCTGTGGAAATAAAGACCAACCAAATGAGGAAAGCAAAACCTATTTATTCTGAGATCCCAAAATAAAGGAGTCAGCCACATTCACTTACACTTTGGCAGACACCCAAAGGCAGGCAGAGGCATAGGGAAGCTTTATAGTGGCAAGAAAGGGAAGCCTGCTGGCATGGGGAAGCTGTAGGCAGACTAATCATAGGGGTGGGGTATCCTATGTGATTGGTTAGAGGTGCATATTTGGCTTTCTCCTGTAGGTCCTAAATTGATGGGGGGGGGGTGAGGGGGCGGGGAAATTAGGAAAGCCGTTGGGTATTAATCAAGTCCTGGTCATTTGGGGCCAAATGTAACATGTGTTACTGTTTAGCTTCCTGGTCACCAGGGGTAACAGTCTGACTTCCTGCAAGTCTGGCTTACAGCAGACTAGCTTTCTGAGCTGTTTATGGTAGATAAGGGGTTGGTTCCTGGGCAAGTTGCTGCAGGGTGTGCGTAAAAGTTCTATTTTTTTTCAAAATTCTATTTTTATATATGGTCTAGCCATCATCCCTTAGTATTTCAGTCTCTCACTACTTTGCATCACTCACAGTTATCTTGAGTTAGAGTATTTACCATAGGCTAAAAGGTTAATGTCCTTGTGAAGTGCTTAATTTAGCATGATTTCCCACCACAAGAATTAACAACCTCAATACTTTATTTTTTCTAGCACTAACATATTATTTCTTTTCATTTTCAGTGGTTACCAATGACACAGGAACTGAGCTTCCAAAAATTTATTGAGCAATCTGACTTACTAGAAGAACTTAAATACGACTTCAATGAAAAGGCTGAGTTGAGACACCTCGATACACAAAGGCCATTTGTCTTTAATTATTATAAAAATGTCCCTGAGAGGAATTGCAAGCGCTACCAAGCCCTTGGCCATTTGCTTGAAAAATACATTTATGAGCTTTTAGAGAAAGTATGCAAATTACAAAAAGTATATATCCCACCAGAAGCTGATAAGGAACCAAGAAGCTTCTTTTTTATGAGTGAGACAGCATTAACAAATCATAATTCTGCTCTTCTTGTCCTTCTTCAAGACCATGGGGTCTTTCGAGCTGGTCAGTGGAGTCAGCAGGCAATAATACATCATGGTCTACAACATGGAAGTCAGATACCATGTATTCAAATGGCTTTGCAAGCACATCATGATGTAATTGTGCTAAATCCCAATGACAATTTTGTGGACCTAAAGATGGAAAAAGAATGGAAAGGTCTTTTAACACAAAATATTGAGTCCTCTTCTCTAAAAATGGTTCAAACTGAGAGCTTTTTATCTCTCCAGTATATTCCAAAAAGATGCAGCAACACTCCTGAAGAACACATGGCTTACATTTGGGATTACTTCATTTCAAAGACTGAAGGCAAGGATGTTGCCTTCATTGTACATGGTTATGGAGGCTTGGTTTTCATGGACTTACTTGTTCATAGGAAGTGGGAAGTGATGAGCAAAGTATATGCTGTTGCACTTATTGACTCTCAACATCATGTAAGACACCAGCTGGGAAGTGATGTACAGTTATTAGCATGGATAAAACACCACTGCCGTGAATGGGTGACAAGCCCTAAGCCTCTGGATAAACCTGCAACTACTGTTTTGAAAAAAGAGTTTCCTATGGTTTCTGCTGGTACGGAAAAACATGACTTGGCCCTTTCCTCTAGCCTTCAGTCAATTTTTAAATACTTTAAAAGAGCTCTGAAAGCCAAAATGACTGTTAATTTCTCTCATGCACCAAAAGTAACTAGAAGCTCCACAAAAATAAAGCAAAGTGCTTAAGTTACCTTCTTGTCATGTATGATTTTCTTTCATTCCACTGAAACTTTGTTAATGTAGATACTAGAAGAAAAAGAAAACTTCTAGCTCACATGCAATATTATATTCTGGATTAAGATTTGATTTGTTAATTTGTCTAAAGCAAATATCTTCTCTTTTGTAGCCAATTGATGAACCAGGAAGTTAGTACATACCATCATTAAAGTTTATAGTATTAGTCAAGTTAGAGGATGTTTCTTTTGAAAAGCGACTTTCTTACGGCTTAAGAGAATGACACCATAACCATAGTGAATAGAAATTAAATATTAAGTCAATCTTTGATTTCTATGTGATTAATACCATATTAAAATTGCAAGTGAACATAAAAATTAAATATCATAAGCAAATTCCATTCTTGGTATGTTTTTTTATTTTTATTTATTTATTTTTAGAGAAAGGGGAAGGGAGGGAGAAAGAGGGGGACAAAAACATTAATGTGAGAGATTGCCTGTCATGTGCCGAGACCAGGGACAAAACCCACAACCTAGACATGTACCCTGACCAGAAATCAAACCATCAACCTCTCACTTTGTGGGACAATGCCCAACCGAGTCACACTGGCCAGGGCCCATTCTTTGTATGCTGGTGTTCTTATGTTTAAATTTTTTGGTCATGTGTGTATTTATTCAAACCTTTAGCTAACATTTGAGTGTCTACTATGTGCCAGTCAATATTAGGTCTTGGGAACACAGGCAAACAAGGCCAACATTGTCTTTATCCTTATGGAGTTTAAATAAACCACAAATTGCAAGTGTGAGGAGTGTTAAGAAATAAAGGATGCATGGAACGTCTAACATAGCTAACAAGCCTTGGGGTTCAAAGAATAGTTCCCTGAGAAAATGGTGCTTAGTTTTAAGAACAGTAGTAGTTAACTTGGAAAACAATCAGAGGCAAAGGAACACTAGGCAGGAGGAAGAAATCCAGTTCAGGTAAAGCAAAAATATTATGAGGCAGTAGGGTTAAAGAAAACATTATGCGTTGACATTTATAACAACAGTAAGGAAGACTACATTCAAGAGGCATTACTACAATGGGGGTTTTGCAGTAAGGGTTAGAGATCAGGATAAACTCTAAAACACAAGGATGAGTGGAGGGGATTTGCAGCCAACGAGCAGGGTAGTTAGGTCACTGAATGGAAAATTACTAAATGATAATATCAGGGGGTAAGAGAGATTCTTGCTGTAGGAAAGCCAGGGTGATATGATATTAAGAGTGGAGGATGAAGTATTTTATCACATATAAAGGATAATCCAATATCAAGGATGGGAGATTTTCACTGAACTAATTCAGCAGAATTCTTGCTAAAACTGGACTAAGCCAACTAAGGACAGAGTCCAACATTGGAGCCTATTTGAGAGGAGGTCTTAGGGGAGCCAGACTCAGATTTGGTTAAGGAGAGGTTTATTATCAGTAGCTGGAAAGTTAAATTAGAGAAATAAGCAAAGTCCATCGTTAAGATTCTCAACTTTAAAAAAAAAAAGATTTTCAACTTTATTCTAATGACAGTGAAAGCTATTGGATAGTTTTAGACAGAAGAATATTATCAGATTTACATTTTATAAAGAATATCCTGCTCAGGCTGGTGTGGCTCAGTTGGTTGGAGCATTGTCCCGTAAACTAAAAGGTTGAGGGTTCGATTCCTGGTCAGGGTACATGCCCAGGTTGTAGATTCAGTCCTCAGTTGGGGCGTGTACGAGAGGCAGCTGATCAATGTTTCTCTCTTACATAGATGCTTCTCCCCCTTTCTCTCTCCTTTCCCATCTTTAAAAATCAATAAGGATGGCCTCAGGTGAGGAAAATTTCCTGACTTCAGTTTGGAGAATATATAGGAAAGAGGACAAGCTTGGAAGCAGAGAAACCAAATTAATTTTGGCAATAGTCTGAGAAATGCTTAGTACCCCTAATGAACAACATTTTGTGATTGATTGGAGGTCAGAAATTAGGAGAAGTAAATGACAAGAATTACTCCCACATTTTTTACTTCAGTGACTCAATGTATAGAAATACTGTTTACTGACATAAGGACTCCTGGTGAAAAATGTATTTTAGCTATTCCAGAAAGTTTTAAAAGAGAAAAAACAATAGCTTGCAAATTATTTTTTTAGCTTTTCCCGTAAATCAGTAATGTCTATACTATACATTTTTTGCACTTGAAAAATTGACTCTCTGCCGTATCTAAGACATACAGATGTTTCTGTACATAGCTACATCTAATATCTACTTTTTTAACCTAGCATATATTCTAATTCTTGTTATGGGATGAGTATTTGTATCCCCCTGGGATTCATCTTAACCTCCAATGTGATAGTTTTAGAATTTAGAAGTGATTATATCATAAGTGTGAGCCCTAATTAATAGGACTAGTGCTCTTATGAAAGACACCAGAGGAATCCCTTCCACCATGTGAGGACACAGCAAGAAGACAACCATCTATGAACCAGGAAGAGGCCTTCACCAGACACTGCATCTTCTGGTTCCTTGATCATGGACTTCCCAGTTTCCAGAACTGTGAGAAATTGATGTTTGTTGTGTAAGCCCCGAAGTCTATGATAGTCTGTTATACCAAGCTGAACAGACTAAAACAATGCCTTATTAGCAAAGACATAAGATTTCAAGTGTCTCTTCTTTATGCACCATGCACCATAATTTTTTTAAAAAGTACTGAATTGTACATCAATACATGCAAATTTTTAAAAAATCTCAGCTTTGAATAAACCATTTAATCTCTCCCAGCCTTCATTTCCCATTTTATAAATGAGGTGAGCTTTGAAGTCCCTTCAAGATAATCTATCTAGAATATATTTAATGGTCCTAATGTAAAAAGCACCAAAAGTAAAAAAAGTTTCACCAAAAAGCTATTCTATCTTGCATTCAATTAGCCAAAAGTTGATATATCTCTCAGCCCCTAAATTTAAATTTACTGTTTAACCTGGTATAGTCAAAGCTCTGGTTAGTTAGAGCATCGTCCCAATAGGTTAAGGTTTTGGGTTCGATCCCCAGTGAGGGCACATACAAGAATCAACCAATAAATGCATAAATAATTGGAACCAAAAAAATAGATATTTCTCTCTCTCTCTCTAAAATCAATCAATAAAAAAAATTCTAAAGGATATGCCTGGAAGCAAGAGAAAAATCCTTCCTAGAATGAATGTTTTCAGGTTTTTTAGTGGATTTGAAATTAAGGAAGATTAAATAAAGATGGGAGAAAGCAAGGTGGGGATTGGTTTAGAGGATAATTAACAAGATTCTGTGCTCCCTTGGTTACAACCCTGACAGGTTTGAAATAGAGGACTGATCTGGTATTTCAAAGGAGTGTTAATTTAGATGCACAAGAACAATGGACAGGGCTTGCTTAAGGCAAAGATGCACCTTTTTTAAAAAAGGTACTATTCTCTTTTTTTCTATTGACTTTTAGAGATAGAGAAGAAGGTGGAGAGAAAGAGAGAAATGTTGGTCTTGCTGTTCCACCAATTTATACATTTATTGGTTGATTCCTGTATGTGCCTTGGCCCAGGATTGAACTCGCAATCTTGGTATATCAGGATGATGCTTCAACCAACTGAGCTACCTGGCCAGGGCCAAAGATAACCCTTTTACTAAAAAAGTTACATGCCTGCGGTGTGACTACCCACCATGACCTGCCCAATGAGGATTTTTTAAAAGGTTTTATTTATTTAACTTTTAGAGGGGAAGAGAGAGAGAGAAACATCAATGTGAGTATATGGATCAGTTGTCTCTTGCACAACCCCAACTGAGGACCTGGCCTGCAACCCGGGCATGTGCCAACTGGGAATCCAATGGGGACCTTTTGATTCACTGGCTGGAGCCCAACTGAGCCACATCAGCCAGGGCCCAATGAGGAATTTATAATCAGGTCACCCTTTGAGATTACTTTCCATCATTGCACTTGTCAATTTTATTACAGAACTCCTTTTTCATCCACAATAGCCTTTAGTAAGTATAAGGAGATAACTCATTGTAGTTTTGATTTGCATTTGTTAATGATTAGTGATGTTAAACATCTTTCCATGTACTTACTGGCTATTTCAATATGTTGTTTAAAGGAATGTCTATTTAAGTTCTTTGCCCACTTTTGAATTGGGTTGATTTTCTTTCATTATAGAGTTGTAGCAGTTCTTTGTATATTCTAGATAGTAATCCCTTATCAGATGTGTGATTTATAGTTGTCTTTTTACTCTTAATAGTGTCCTCTGATGTACACAAGATTTCAATTTTGACAAAGCCCAAAACATCTATTTTTTCTTTTGTGGCCTGTGCTTTTGGGGTCATCTCCAAGAAATCATTGTCAAATCCAATGTCATGACGTTTTCCCATGTTTCTTTCTCAGTTTTATAGTTTTCATACTTACGTTGACGTCTTTGATCCACTTTTGAGTTAATTTTTGTATATAGTTTTAAGCTTTCCTTTCCCCCGTAAATGATGTTGTACCTTGTGTTTTAATAATGACGACTCAATTAAAACCCTTTAAAATTCTGGGCTGGGTGGAGGAAAAAATGTGCTGGGTAAACAAAACACATACAGATTTCATTTTGACCCAAAGGACACACTAATTTACAGCATGTGCATTAACTTCATTTTCACATTAAATCTTCGAATGAGCCAAGGTCAGGAAAAGACATTTAGTGTTACCTAGCAGAGTCTAAGCACTCTACCAGGTACTGGCGATAAACCGGTTAAAAAGGTTAGTAAGTTAAATTCGTAGCATTAAGGAGTTCAAAGCTGAGTGAAACTTGTGATAACATCGTTTTATTTTAGTATTACGTGAGTAAATGCTTATAAAGGGACTACGCAGGAAGTAGATTAAGAAAAGAGAATTAGAGTTTTAAATAATAGGGGAACAAAGAAAACAAAGAAAAATAAAGGAGAACAGAACAAAAACTCCCAGCTACCAAGCCCGTCTCTGTTGAGAGGTTTGGAAGCAACAGTGAAAAGGATGGTAACCACCCTCCTTATTCCACAGCCCGGCTTTCCAGACTGAAATGCTTGCCCCTGCGTCGTGACGACATAAGATCGCGCGGACAGGACAGGGCGGGATTTCCGGCAGTGAACCGCGCAGGTCAGGAGTCAGCGACGGTTATTGCGAGACCTGATACTCGAGCTGTGGATCAGGTGTGGCGGTGTCCTCGGACAGGCGGCACTTCACCGCAGAGTCCTGCGTCCTCTCTGGGTGCTTGCGGTTTGCACCGGCGGGAGCCACTGTCTCTGTAGTCCTGGTATGGGCGTTTATTGTCATCTCCCAGTGAGCGTTGAGTGGAGGGACGCGGGAGACGTTGTAAGATAAGACTTAGTGGAGCATGTGCACTCAGAAGACGCACGGTTCAGAGGAAACCCACGTTGATGCACAACATACTTCTATTGGTCGATATATGTATATATAAAACTTGAATTTTTGGAAACTTTAGGTGTGCTGTCTACTTAGGAGAAAGTACCTAGTTGTACTGTGTTGGGTTGGCATTGTACAGAAATTAACAGCCATATTGGTCTAAAAACGTCAAACTTTTTTTTTCCATTTGTACATGGGTAATGCACTCTATTAAGCATTTAAGGCCTTATCTCTCTGTATGAGTTTGATTACAGAAACTAATAAAGCAGTCTCTAATGAAAAAAGGAAGCCCAGTGATTTAAGAATCTAAATAGTACAATACCGGGAACAAGAGCAGTGTTTCCCACAATGAAACCTAATATTTTAGGTTTTCATTTCTATGGTATCCTAAAAATATCAGTTACGGAGACAAAACTAAAAAAAAACAAAAACAAAAAAACCCCGAAAAAAACTCATTCTGAAATCAGAGTTTCTCATATTGGGGCTGAGGACTCCAAGTTAAATATTCCGGGGAGTCTAAATTGTTTTCTTCTTTAAAAGGTGTTTACTCGAAAATACTTGAGTGTTTAATATCTTGTTCCTGCATACATATATGTGATTAGTTTGGCTCAAATAAACTCTTTAAAAAATTCTCTAAAAATAAGAAAAATATTTGAGTGATTTTTGAGAGCATATACTGCCAAGCATTGAGTTCAGTGTTAATAGAAACACAATCTTTGTCCTGATAGTTTACCATCTAGTATGGCAAATAAGAGGCAATTACAACATAGTGTTACAAGTGCATACTATGATAGAGAAGTACATAGTGCTATAAGAACTAATAGGAATACTTGATCTAAAGTTTGAGGTGAATTGCCAGTGAGGTGTAGCTGAACAGGTGAGCAAAGGATGATTTCAAGAAAAACTTTATAAGCTTTGTTTATAAATTTGTACTTGAACCTGGCAGCGGTAGGCTTAGAAATACACATTAGGGATGATATGAGTTCATTGATTAGATTTGCACTTGCTCCAAATGGCTTAAAAGATGAAGAAGAGCAAGTCTGGAGGCTAGGAGATGCAATTAAGAAAATGGAGTTCAGTGTTGGCTGGACAGCTCAGTTGGTTCAAATGTCATCCCCATATGCCAACGTTGTGAGTTCAATCTGTGGTAAGGGAACATAATAGAAATAAGCAATGAGTGCATAAATAAATAGAACAACAAGTTGATGTCTCTCTCTCTCTCTCTCAAAAAGGTAATTAATAAAAAAATTTTTTTATCTTCACAAGAGAACATTTTTTTCATTGCTTTCAGAGAGAGAAGAAGGGAAAGAGAGAAACATCGATTGGTTGCCTCCCTGTATACACCTGGACCAGGGGATCAAACCCACAACCCAGGTATGTGCCCTGACTGGTAATTGAACTGCAGTCCTTTGGCCATGGGACGATGCTTCAACCACCTGAGCCACTATCAGGGCAAGTTAATTAAAAAAAAAAATTTAAAGAAAAAAATGGGGTTGAAAAGAAGTAAATGGATTCAAGAAGTATATAGAAAGTAAAGTGAATATAATTCAAATGTATTAGATATGATATGTGTGTGAGAGAGGACAGTAATCAAATGACTCCCTGTTTCTGGCTTCAGCAAACGAATAGATATCGGTGGCCCTCCCTGAAACAATGGCAGAGGGAGAAGCAGATTGAGAAGGAAAGTGGGAGAGATTATTTCAATTTGTTGCATTTGAGATGTCTTCTAATTCATGGTGATTGAAGGTACTGAGGTAAATTTGACCTCATAGGGAAGATGTTTAAATTGGAAAAGGAGCTAAGTACAGAACTCAGAGGCACCTTTAAAAGGGATGAGGGAATGGAGCATATGAACATGGGTGTACAGGTCAATGAGGCAAGAGATCTAGGAGCATGCAGACTCATTAAAAGAAGTCAAAGGAAGAAAAAAAATTTTCAAGTGTTTTAGTTGCATTTTGTAAAATGTTGAATTTTTTTAAATGTCTTTTGTTAAAGATTTTATTTATTTATCTTTAGAGAGAAAGGAAGGGAGGGAGAAAGAGAGGGAGAGAAACATCAATGTGTGGTTGCCTCCCTCACACCCCCAACTGGGGAATCAGCTTGCAACCCATGCATGTGCCCTGTCTTGGAATCAAACCGGTGATACTCTGCATCTCCAGCCAGCACTTAATCCACTGAGCCACACCATCCAGGGCCGAATTCCTTTTTTTTTCTTTCAAATTGGGCACTAGTTTCTTATCTTTATGCATCTTCATTGTTTTGTGGACCTCTAGACCTTTAGGATAAAATTGTGGAGCTTATATATATTTGCCCTAATTCTGGACATTTTGTTTGGCAGTAGCATTATTTGCTGCAAAATAAAGTCTGAATTGGAGAAGGGGGGTTTATTTTGCTTTGTTTTATTTTAAAACCAGTAGATCTTTCTATATTTCTGTTTTGGAAACTAGTACAGCAACTTCTAGGTGTTTTGTTTTGTTTTTTACTAGTTGCCGTATTCTATAACTTTTCAGCCCTTCGTCTTCATGTGTTGCTTATGTTAGGAATCATATTTGGAACTGTATAGGGTGGGGCAAAGGTAGGTTTATAGTTGTGAGTACACAGAACACAGAGTTTATCCTTGTATTATTATTAATTATTGTAGTTTCCATATGAACAACTGTAAGCCTACTTTTGCCCCTCCCTGTATGTGGTTTAGTATAGAATGGAGAAGAATATAGCATCATGATCTTAGTTAGCCACATCAGTGGTATATAACCTTGTTATCTAGTAACATTAATTTTTCTGGGCCTAGATTCAAATCTAAAAACATGGATCTTCAACATGGACAGTGGTGTGGGAATTGGCTGTGGGAGCATGGGGTGGGATGGGCAGAGGAGGGCAGAGGAGAAGGATTAGGAAAGCTGTAATAGAATAACAATTTTTTTTAAAAGACTAATAAAATAAAATCTTATACCTAAAAAAAATAAATAAAAAGGATCTTCAAAGTATCCTTTAGTCTAAAGCAATAGTGAAATTCGTGTCTAAAATAAGAACCCAAATAAGTTTTACACTTTTGCCTAGGGAGTGATCAGAGGCTCTAGGCCACAGGAGTCCAGGAAAAATTAATGGTGCAGCAAATAAAGTACTAAAATTCTACTTTGTGTTTCAAAAATTGATTGTATTTTGATCTCTCAAATTTATACTTGCACAGTTAGTTGAGAAGTTTTAAAAATCTTTGTATAACTTTTCACTACATTTTTCTCCTTTTGTAGGGGTTTTCTTACCTGACTGTTTTCCTCAAAATGAGTATTAGCATCACCTTCATAAGACCTTTTGCCAGAGTTTTGGTGCCATTTACCCTTAACAGGAAGAGAAGGGTTTTATATTCAGCGATTCTGCAGAGATACATGTCTTCCAAAATACCACCTGTGTCCTCTCCTATTAAGGAGAGTACATCACCTGAACAGCTGGAATTGGATGGGTGGAAAATTACAATGAAATCTAGTGTGCAAGAAGATGTTTCAACAGTCTCAAGTACTAAGGATGAAGATCCTTTAGCGGCCACTAGGGAGTTAATTGAGATGTGGAGATTGCTTGGAAGAGAAGTACCAGAACACATCAGTGATGAAGAGCTCAAAACGATTATGGAATATGTTTCTAAATCATCAAAAAAAAAATATTTAAAATATTTATATGTTAAGGAAAAAATGAAAAAAGCTAAGCAACGAAAAAAGGAAATAAAAGCTGCAGCAAAGGAAAAAGCAAAAGAAGACCAGCTGCTAGAAACCACTAAAAAAGAAAAACAGCAAAACTTTCTATTTCTACGACTTTGGGATAGGCATATGGATATAGCAATGGGCTGGAAGGGTGCCCAGGCCATGCAGTTTGGACAACCTTTGGTTTTTGACATGGCTTATGAAAATTATATGAAACCGAAAGAGCTGCAGAATACTGTTTCCCAACTTTTAGAAAGTGAAGGATGGAACAGAAGAAATGTTGATCCTTTCCATATTTATTTTTGCAATCTTAAAGGAGATGGCCCTTTTCATAAAGAGTTAATTAAACGTTATGGAGAAAAATGGAACAAACTTCTTTTAACAGCAACAGAAAAGTCACACATAGATTTATTTCCAAAGGACAGTATTGTATATTTAACTGCAGATTCTCCCAATGTTATGACTACTTTCAAGCATGACAAAATTTACATAGTGGGAGCTTTTGTAGATAAGAGTATGCAACCAGGCACATCCCTAGCCAAAGCAAAACGGCTGAATCTAGCAACAGAATGCCTTCCATTAGATAAATATTTACAGTGGGACATTGGTACAAAAAATCTCACCTTAGATCAAATAATGCGTATTTTGTTATGTCTGAAAAACACTGGTAGTTGGGAAGAGGCTCTGAAGTTTGTTCCTACGAGAAAACATACTGGTTATCTGGAGATTCCTCAGCATTCTAAAGAGTTTGTCAACAAAGTGAAGAAGTCAAAGACTATTAATTCATTTCCAAAAGGCTCTCTGAACATATACACACAGAAAAGATGACTTGAAAGAAAATACTTAATAGCTTAAAAAGTAAATGGGTTGGAAATACAGGTCTGTTAGTCTTTTCCTAAATGGAATTCACTTGCTCTTTCTCTTAAAGGTTGTCTTTCCAAACTAACTGAAGTATGTATTTTCCCCAATTAAGTAAATATCTGCAAAACTTTGGAAATGCATATTTTTTTTACTATTAAAAAAAATCTTAGAAAGTAAAGAGACTTGTCCAAGTTTGTTGAGCCCAGTAAACCAGTCGTATCATTGTTGCGGCTTTTTTTATGAGTACTTTGAGTCTCTGCCTCCATTTTTCCTTCTTAAATGTTCTTTTAGTTACGTCAGCAACTACCCTTTCATCAAAAATTGATAGAGAAGATATTTCTAAACTTCAGGAGGTCATTCACTTATTAAAATAACAGTAGAGTCCTGGGCATGTCATGGGCATTAAGTTATATTGTTTAACTGAATATTAAAAGATAAGCAATCCCTTGGCATGTCATGGAATTTGGCTATATAATGAAAAATGGGTTTGGGGAGATAAAACTCATTTCTTGTCCTCTTGGAAAAAAAAGTTTTATTTGGTGAATGTTAAATACAGTATTTTCTAGGAAATAGTTTCTTTAGCCATGTGATTTGAATGGAAGTTGCCCTATTTTTACAGACCTAGCTCTCCTGAGTACTGCTGATTATCCCAAAACAGATAGCTCGCTCAAGCTTAGAAATGGGCATCTCACTTTAAGATAGACCAGTCACAACACTTTTCCAAGATTTTTGAACTTGAGAACTAAGATAGCCTGTGTTCTTTACCTGTGGTGGACTTGGCAGATACTCTAGAATTAGTGGTGGATGTGTCCTTTTCTATGAAAAGCCAGGAGAGAGTGAAGCTTACCTACAGAAATCAGGCCAATTTCTGGAGCTGTTCAAATCCCTCCTTCCAATTGTCTCAGGTCTAGCTATAGATTTCCTTTAGCATTTATTAGTTGTTCAAACCTCATGCGATAACCTAGTATCCTAATAAATTCCCCTTTGCCAAAGCCAGTTTGAGTTAGGTTTCTGCCACTTGCCACCTAATGAATCCTAATATGCTTGAGAAAATACTTGTTTCCTAAGAAGGAACTTCAGGAACCATAGTCATTGTAGACTACGAGCACCATTAAAGTTGTCAAAAACAGGAAATAGAGATGTATGGCCAAGCATTTCTACCTAATTTCTCAGCTGAAAATTAGCATAAGATGCCATCCAATGTGTTTCTTAAAGTGAGGCCTAACTTTTACCAAATAACTTAAGTACCTACTTTGTACCAAACAATGCAGTTTACAGAATGAATTATTTAAACAAGTTAGAGGTACTAATATCTTTTTTACAACTATGGAAAATTTATTCAAAATAATTTGGCCTTACAGTATCTTAAAAGATCTGTCTGACTTTAAAGTCCCAGCTTTTAACCTATAAATTATGCACTCTATAATGCAAGAATAAAATGCAATGGAAAAACAAGGCTATGCCTAACCCAGACAGAAATGGGACGGTCCTTGAGGAAGTGATGTGTTCATTTAGAATTGGTGACAAGTGTGATATGAATGAATTTAAACTGTTATTAAGCCCTATTAAAGTGGCATGGTGTCATTACTTGAACTGCTTGAGATATATTGTAGTTAAAATAGCATAGAGGTTAAGATTTCCTGGCAGTGTCCGCACTAGAGTGAGGCAAACAAGGCTCCTAGGGGCACCTTGCTAGTCTCCCAGCCTTATTCCTGGGCTTCCAGTGCCACCCTCACAGGCTCTGACATTGCTTAAATTGCTTAATCTCTTTAAATTTATTATCCTCATCTATAAAAATATTAGAAACTGTATTTGCCATATAAAATGTGCTCTTGTGTAATGCACACTCAGGTTTTTGTGTGCATTTATACACAGGATTGCTATACCCATGCTGTGTAATCATACCCATTTGTAATGTGCATCCTTATATCTCCCTCACAAATTTGGGCTAAAAGTGCATTCATTATACATGGCAAAATATGGTAGTTTTTGACTCATGTAAAACAATATTGTATCCGGCATGTAAGTTTTCTAAGATTGTATTTTTAAGAGAGGAAGGGGGAGAGAAAGAGAAGGAGAGAAACAATGATGTGTAAGAGATACATCCATCTATCACTGCCTCTTGTATGCCCCCAAATGACGACCTGGCCCACAACCTAGGCATGTACCCTGACCGGGAATCGAACCGGCAACCTTTCGGTTTGCAGGCTGGCACTTAATCCACTGAGCCACACCAGCCAGGATAATAACTACTCAGACTATACATTCAAAATGGAATGGAATTTCAGTGGAATGTATGGATTTTTAGTAGTTTATATGAGTTGTGTCCCTTTAAGTAGTACATTCTTATTTCTGTGTAACTATGCAGTTATTTCAGTAGTGCAACTTTAGGATTAAAAATAAGGACCATTTTCTTCCAAACTGCCAAATATTAATTGATTTCTAAGGCTGCTTTTCTTTTATGTAGATAAATCACAATGGCAACCATATCCACTTTGAATTCATATTGATTTTCCAAACTTTTCCAAACTTTTCAGAATTTGGAACTAAGAGAACCTCAGATGCTACTTCAATTTCTCCAAACTAGAGGGTCTGATTTCCCAGGGACTAAGTAGAAGTAATGGTTTTCCTCTCTATTTCAAACATCCAATATGGTAGTATTCTTTGCAGGCAACTATTGTTGCCTATGTTCTAATTGTCTGCTTACCTATTACCAACATGTTTTTATGGAATGCCATTTCTAGTTCTCTTGCTCTTGTCAAACATGCTACCAACTTCCTAGCCTTTAATAACTAAAACAATATTAAAAAGAATCGTTTACTTGTTACTATTATCCCTATATTACCCAGTTGAACTTTATATCCAGATCCTTCAAGCAAGGATTACATCAGTTCTGTTGTTCCTAGCCAGATTCAGTGTCCTTTGCGTGGCATAACTTCCACTTTGATTTCCATTCAAAACAGTTGTTTTATTTTTCTTCATTGGCACATTCATTCGTTTAGCAAATATTTATTGAGAACCCAGTATGTGCCCAGAAGTGTTTTAAATGTTGGTGTTACAGTAATGAACTATTCCCAGCCTTCAGGGATATTAAATTCTGGGCAGAGAGGAGAGAGGCATAAATACATAAAATGTCAGAAGGTGATCTCCCTCCCTACACCCCCCACTGTATGGGGACACAACAACGAGGCAGCCATCAGCATGCTGGGGGGGAAAGTCCTCATAAAAGAACTTGGTCATACTGGCACCTTAATCTTGAACTTTTTTGCCTTCAGAACTGTGAAAACTGTCTATTCTTTAAGGCAAAAAAAAAAAAAAAAAGTTTAAGGGAGAAAGGGGAATGCTGGCACGGGGAGGCATTACTATTTTATAAAAGGTGGTTGGGAACTGCCTTCTATGCAGGTTGTTCACTGCACAAGAGCACCCATACTTCCCTCTCCAAGCCATGCATTTTGGTGCAGGACCATATTTGCTCAAAGGAAGTAACACCCTTTTTCTTTGTTCAAAGGCACTATCTGCCTTTAAACCATGTGCTTAAAAAATTGTATCCAATAAGAGAGCATCTCTTTTCTAATTTGCATAAATACTGGTAAGATTGACATTTTAGCAGAGACCTGAAGGAAGTAAGTGTGAGCTATGGAGATAAAAGGGTAGAGAGCTCCAAGTAAAGCCAGAAATGAATTCAAAGACTCTGAGAAGGTTCAAGGTACAAGGAGGCTAGTGACAGAAGCCGGGTGGGTTAAAGAGAGATGAAGGTAAGATAAGAGTAATAGAGACCTGTCACTTAAGCCTCTTAGACCATTGAAAGGACTTTGGTTTTTATTCTGAATACGATGGGAAAATCAGATGATCTTGAACAAAGAAGTGACATGTCCCCCATGACTTAATAAGATTATTAGCCCTGATGGGTGTGGCTCATTGGGTTTGATGAGGGACTCAAATGTTGGAAAAATTTTATTTTCAGGTAATAACTAAGCTTTGTAATCAATGTAGGCAAAAAGCTATTGTTTCAGGAACTGAAGGTATGACCCACCTTGACTCCAGGAGACCTTAAGCAGTTCCACCTTTGTGCCTCAGGAGGACTCAAGTATTCAAGATGGTATCTGAGCCATTGTACTCCAGTGTGAGACACCCACTACCCAGGACACAGATAAAGATCACTGCCCAGGGCACAGATAAAGACCACTGCTGAGAACACAAATGAAAGAATGCTGCAGCTTTTTTCTGATTTTTTCCCCTGAATTTCAAACCCCTTACCTACATTTTTCTTCTTATAAAAAGGGCAGTATAAAATGGAATTTAAGATGGTCTGTTAGGGTACAAACCCTCCATCTTAGATTGCTGACAATCTGAATAAAGCACCTATAAAGATTCAATCCCTATCTCTGCTTATTGGATCTGGTAGGTGACAGGCAGTGCAAACACTGGCTTTTCTAGTTTCAGGTTGGACATCATCCTGCTAACCAAAGGGTTGCTAGTTTGATTCTGGGTCAGGGCACATGGGGCATATGAGAGGGGACCAACAGATGTTTCTCTCACACATCGATGTTTCTCTCCTTCCCTTAACCTCTTTCTAAAAATAAATTTTAAAAAAAATAGGATAACTAAATTGTAAACTTCATGAGGGTGGGTTTGTTTTTTTTTAATTCACTGCTGTATCCCCCAAGGCCTGGCATAGTGCCTGGCACACAGTGAGCACTTAAAAATTTGTTGAGTGAACGAATCCGATTCCTTTTACTTTATTTTACAGAAAATATAAGTACAAATGCAGGTACCACCACAGATATGGTGAGAATATATAGAAATTGTCTTTATTATTTTCTCAGTGAAAATAAGCCAAATTGTCAGCAGAGGAGGAGAAAATGTTGGATGTTTTTGGATCATGCAGAAAGTGTGAAACAGTGTAGGAAAATGAATGAATTAGGGCTGGTGGTTCTCAAAGTATGGTCCTCAGAGCAGCAGCATCAACATTGCTTGGAAACTAGTTAGAAAAGGCACATTTGGGGCTCCCACTAGTGAGTTTACTGAATCAGAAATAGTGGTACCAGAGTTTTTACTCGGTTTTTTAACAAGCCTTTCAGGTGGTTCTGTTAGACACTAAAATTTGAGAATGGTACAGGGAAATATAGCAGGATTACAGGGCTGCATTAAGAAGCTACTCAAACCTTTAGTGAACATTTAGTAAAACCATGTTTAAC